ATCATATTGCATCTTACAAGCATCGCTTGCTTACTTTGCTCCCTCAGTGTAGCCGACCTGATCTGTGTGACTTTTATGGTTGGTATGTTTTGCACCAGAAGTTCTTTGCTAGAGTCAGGAAGGTCATTTTGTCTGGTTGTAGACCCTCAGAGGCTCACAGATGAATGCTTCTGTCCTCTCTACCTGACCTGCTGCTGCAAGCATTACAATCATTCAGGCTGCTTTTTAATTAAGCCCACTCTCCCGCATGCATGCTCTCCCTCTCACACACACACACGCACAAGCACACACACACACACACACTTTGCACAGCTGTAGCAGGCGCACAACCTCGCACAGAGGAGCAACAGCACTGCTGTTAACTACAAATGGGTCAGTGGGGAAGGCCTGCCCTGGCACACTCTAGCACATAGCCAAATGACTGTGTGGCAAGAACACACAACTGTACAGACACACACAAGAATCACCCTTTTTGGTCATGTTCAGTTTGCATTGTCGTTTGCATTGCTTCAGTGGCATATGGACCGGGAAAAAGAGACAAAATAAAGGCAAGAGAGGGAGAGTTCAGCCAACTCACTGTGCTGTCTATTTCCAGGACAAAATGCTGCGTTTGAATTTTAGCAAAGCAGAATTCAGTCACTCTGCTAGCAGAACTGCAACACCCCCCACCCGAATTTTGCTCATATTGTTGTTTTTCCCTTAATTGTCCTCCTCTGGTGAGCAGCAGATGCTAGCTGTGCATGTGAGGCTGAGAGACAGACAGACAGACAGACAGACAGACGGAAAAAGAGAGGATGTGTTGGTGTGTGTGAATATGTTTGTGTTGATGGTGTACGAGTCGTGAGTGAGAGACTGAGTGTGGGTGTTGCCTCCACTGACATTTAAATAATTGCCTCTAGAATTTTCCCGGAAGCATAATAGCAGAGGGAAGAGTGAGTGTGTGTGTGTGTGTATGGTTTGGAGTTAGATAGAGGCTGAGTTCTTGTGTAGCATCACCAGGAGAATATTTCACTTTGAGCGAGATGCAGAGTGTGTTTAAATAAATAAATAAATAGAGACAGTGTGGGAAAGCAATAATGAATCATCTATGATGGCACAGACTGACCTCATGCTGCTCCTGTATTGCTTCTTTTGTTTTATCCCAACAGTTCTTACAGAAAACCGCTTTTGTGCTGCGTTTTTGTTGAAAAGCATTTTACTATTCGTGGAATGGATTTCAAACAGACAAGTAAACAAACAAGTGTATGAAATTTATGAAGCACATCGCGTCTGTTTTACATTCTGCTACTCTTTTTTTTTTTTTTAGTTCCCGACATGACATACTGTGTGTAGCAAAAATGTGTATACTTGCTGTGCTAGGATCGTCGCCTCAGTGGAGATCAAACTGCAGTGTTAAGTAGAAACAACAAATGCATATTTTTGGTAGTACCGTTGTATACCTCTGTATGCCTCCTCATCTGTATGTGAACAGACAACAAGATTATAGTCCAAATTTACAAGCAAAGCCATTTCCTCTGCAAGCAACCAACAGCTGTGTGTGTTAGGTGTGGGTGAAGAGGCAAAAATATATCACAGTTTTTCACTCACATTTAATTAGTTTTTTTTTTTTTCACGTTTACAAATGACAAATTAAAAGATAACAAAGAAATAAAATGCCAGAGTACTTTTTAAAACATGTTTTAATACGGCATTTAACACCTAAGTGCAACTGTATTACTTATACAGATTAGTTGCCACTTAGGTGTCAGATTTAGACCTGTAACTAAACCAGTTACATAAAATCACATTATTGAAGGAGAGTTCTTAAAAGCTACGAATTACCTTGATTATGTACAGCTCTAAACCGAACTGTGTGTAAAACTCATCCACTGACAAAAAAGTGCTTGCAATATCCATAGATCTTAAGGCCAAGTAATAACTAACCTCTGTGACTGGTAGTGCTATCATTCAAGACTTCCTGTGGCTACTTAACAATATAAGCCATACATTATTGCCCATTCCTGCTGTGTACGGTCGGGAACATAATACATATACTGCCAATCCCCCCACCCCCAGCCCTTGTCACTATTTCCCCCCTATTGTGGTTGTGTTGCAGTGCTGCAAGGGTTCTTCTACACACACACAAAGTTATTTGTTTAAGGTTTTGGAAATTGGATCTAAGATAATGAAGACACCTGCAGAGCAAGATCTAGGCTACTCACCCAGAGATATTGTGTGTGCACACGTGCACTAACACACACGGCCTGCAGGAGCCCAGCATCTGATGGCATCACAGAAATATGTTGTGATCTTACAGTGATTGATGCCAGAGAGGCTTAGAATTAATAGGAACAGATGAGACTGAAGAACAGACTGATGCTCCATGCATTTTCTTTGTGTCTTCATTTAGGGGTGCGTGCGTTGCTGCATGCTTGTGTGAGTCTGTCACCCATGCATGCGCATTGTGCAGAGCGTGGGTGAATAATGTGCTAATGGAGGAGCTTGAACATATGCTGCCACTGCTCGTTCTCCACTGAGCGATGCCCTGTCCTCCCCAGTGATGGATTGAATAGGGGGGTTCATTAACAGATAGCAGCTTCTTTAATAAATGCAGTCGTTAGCTATATTGTGGTTGGGTTATTCTGTATTTTACCAGCTAATCACGTCTTTGTCTTCATCAGATCCCTCATAACCCTCCCTGCAGGTTTCAGGGTGTTAGTAAATTGCTTTTTAAGCTTTGCCTGAGCAATAGATTGTTGTGCTTTCAATGCTTATGGATTAATTAAGAAGCATAACATATTCTCTTATTAAGTATTGTCTCAAGAAATTAGTTTTCTTCTGTGATTATTTAAATGTCACACCTGTTGATTTGGACATTTGACATTGCTGTGCCTCAAGTCTGTCTTTACACTACCAAGTTCTTTTTTCCTCTCTAATGAATCACTTTCCCCCCCTGTTATTATCAGTCTGAATAGGACCTGTGTTCTTCTGATTTTAGAATAGATTGTAGAGTAGATTACTATTTCATCACATAATTATGTGCCATGGACAGCTGAGAGTGTGCAGATTTTTCTTTTATGCAGCTTTTCAAAGATCACACCAGGTGATTTCACTGATTAGTTTCTCCTTTCTTGAAGGTGTGCTATCAGTGAAATCTTCCACTGTAGTCTTTGAAAACACGAGGAATAGGGGCATATGCAACTTTCACTCCGAAGGTTGTATATTCCCCTAAGTAAATGGAAAACTGTTTTGGGTTTTTTTTTATCAGTAAAATCATTTCAACATGTGTTCTTGTGTTTCCCAGGTGCTGCAGCACATCCTGAATCCAGCCTTCCTTTACAGCTTTGAGAAAGGGGAAGGTGAGCAGCTGCTTGGACCGCCCAACCCTGAAGGAGACAATCCTGAAAGCATTACCAGTGTCTTCATCACTAAGGTACACATGAACACATACGCTTGCAGGTTTTATTTTTCCTCCTCTCAACATCTTTCTTCACATTCAGCCAGCTCACTTCTCCCTTCTTCCTTTGTTCATTACTCACAACAGCTTTGTCTCTCCATTTGTCTCTCTGATTTCATTACCTGCTGCATTTCCTCTCATAATGTCTTATCAGTCCAGAACATCTCCATACTCTCAGTCATCATCAACTACATCCTACTTAGTCTGATTCTTCTTCTCTCACGTCCTCCACGCATTAGTTGATCACTTAATTGCTGTCATTCCATCTCGCTGCTCTTCTTTTTTGCCTCTTCCATCTGTCTTTGCTTTTCTTTCTCCCTCCCACTGTCCCAGTGGTCCCTCTTTCCATCACGTTTCATTTATCAGGCCAGACTATAATTCCTATTGTAAATGTCAGGGTGAGACCATGCTAAAGGTCAGCGTGTTTGTTTGTGCTGTGGCAGATCTCATCACTGACTAACACCAGTCCTAATGGCTGCTAATGGCTCCTCTACGGTCTGGTTAAAACTCATTTCCTCCCTCACCTCCCTCTCTCTGTGTGCTCCCCTCCCATCTGTACTTCTCTCAGGGGAATTCAAATGTTGATGGGTATTTTTCACATATTAAAAACATCTTACAAAAAGACAGCTTCCCATTGAAGAGTATATTGCCGTTATGGTGTGACTTTGGGAAGTAAATATTAGTCAGAAGTGCAGTATACTTAAGCAATTCAAGTATATTAATAGAATGTGTGTCTTACTTGTGCTCATAAGGTGCATTAAGTAATCTAAGACTTCTGTTGACCTCTGTCAGCACCTGGTATGAATTACAGTCGCACCAACAGAGCAGACATTTTTGTTCTTGACACAAAATATTGTGTATTTGTACTGATCAACAACTCCGCAGATATACAGTGCTCACTCTGCTATGGGCAGCAAACATTTGACCTGTCTCTCCCGTCCTTCTCCAAGGTTCTGGACCCAGAGAAGCAGGCTGACCTACTTGACTCACTGCGAATCTGCCTGCTGCAGTTCTCCACCCTGCTGGTGGAGCATGCACCCCACCACATTCATGACAACAACAAGTCACGCAACAGCAAGCTGCGGCGCCTCATGACCTTCGCCTGGCCATGCCTACTGCCCAAAGCTTGCGTGGACCCGGCCTGTAAATACAGTGGTCACTTACTTCTGGCCCACATCATTGCAAAGTTCGCCATTCACAAGAAGATTGTCCTACAGGTGAGGAGGAATTCTAAAAGAGAAAAGAGACTCAGTGAAGCGTGGGTTTAATTTAACACGGAGCTAAAGACTGAGAGTAGAGATAAAACATGGCAGATTTGAGTAGCAGATGTAAAATGAATCCAGACAAAACAAGCATAACATTAGGATGACTCAACTCAACTAAAATGAGATTACAACAGATAGAAAATAAGAAACTTAAAATTAAAGAACAGGGAATATGTAACTGTACTTTTGTATTTATATTAAAAATTGTATTACATTTCCTTTCCTAGGTCTTCCACAGCCTACTGAAGGCCCACACCATGGAGGCCCGGGCCATTGTACGGCAGGCCATGGCCATCTTGACCCCAGCTGTGCCTGCCCGCATGGAGGATGGCCACCAGATGTTGACCCATTGGACTCGAAAAATCATTGTGGAGGAGGGACACACTGTACCCCAGCTGGTTCACATTCTGCATCTCATCGTGCAGCACTTCAGGGTGAGCTGACACACACACACAGAAATTAGAGTGGACTAGTAGTGCACTTCCTTCTGCCAGCCACTTGAATGTATTGATTCCCAGTGTATTATATATTATTATATACACTGCTGGGTGGGTAATGTTCTTTGGTATTCACCCCAGTTTAGCCCACCCTCAGTAATACCATTTTAAGGATGACTAATTACTGTCTATTATATCATATCGATATTATACTTCACATTTTATGGTAAACCAGGGTAAGCTGCCCTGACATGGAGTAAGAGGGCACATGGGTACATCCACAGCCATTTGTTGCTGCTGCCAGTTCACTGCTCAGTGTGGCTTCGGCAACTGCAGGGAACTGCATGGGGGAAATGGTTGAGAAGTTGTTTTTGCTGATTATCTGAGTGCCCTGAATAATATGATGCCTCCTAACCAGCCCTCATGGGAAGGGAGCATCATTTAAAGTTGGATTATCTTGTATGGCCCAATTAATATTTTTTATGAAATAAGTTGGTTAACTATATTTGAGTTGCTGTTTGACAGTAGCGGCATTGTGTCCTGTTGCTTGCTGGTCAAAAGCTGGACCATTCATCACTGGCCAGTGGAGCTGATGGACTTAATGCAGATACACGGACACACCCTTCTGAGTGCTGATCCGCAGAGTCAAAGAGTGCCTAGTCGTTCACAAGTCAGCACCAGCAATGGATCACTAGCCTTTATGTTCACATTCCTCCTTAAACTACTCGAACACTTTCTGTCCTCTCGCTCCTTCAGCTGATGTTCGATGCCTCGCAGGTCAGAAAGCGAGAAGTCTCCTAGCAGAAGACTGACATTTTCCTCAGCTCCCCTCTCTATCTCACTGACAGGCTGCTCTCACTGGGCCAGATGACTAATCTAATGTAATCACATCAGCATAATTACACTGGGGAGAAGATAATGACAGACAGATGAGAGACTTTGTGCGTGTGTGTGTGTGTGTTTGATAAAGAAATAGAGAGATTGTGTGCGTGTTTCTGCGTGCACACGTGATGGACAGGGCTTAGCCGCTCTGTCATTAAGGGGCCATGAAGCCCTGCTCTATCGACTATAATTACCCTCAAAGTGAGAAGCTTTAATATTCTTTGACACTGCAACAGCCCTCAGATAGACATCTCTTCTCTTGCTCTTTTGTCTGTGTGCGTCTGTGTGTTTGAGAGTCCCAGTTCAGTTCGCGATGAAGCTAAGTGACTCTTGAGTGAGACGCTTGAGGGTGTGAATTCTCCGGGCTAAGTGTGTGTCATCATGTCCTTGAGACTAAGTGAGAATACGACTCCAGAGTTTGCCTCTTCTGACTCTGTCTCAAAGTGATTGAGCACCCCATTTTACTTTGCATGTGATCTAATCTAGAGCAAAGTATTGTAGAAAAACTACATGTAGTTGCCTTTCATTCACTTTTTGTTTTCGTCAGCATTTATAATGATGATGCTCTGTGGGCAGGGTGACTCTCTTGCAAGGTGGACACTAACCAGGTTTGCTGTCAGTTTGCGGTGCTCTCAGTTGACATAAAGCTCTGATATTTAGGCATTTAGACAAGCTTCTTTAAGGGAAAACTTTGGTTCTAGGGGGAGATTTGCGCACTAACATGAATGCAGCGACTTTTTGATATACGTAGACCAGCAACAGGTCTCACTCTCATGCTTGTGTTGGAGGGTTGGCAATGGAAGTCAGTCTGATTTATATGTGACAATACTGGCAAGGCAGTCCATCTAACATGAAGCTGAGGGAGAACAAGTTATAACAAACCAGTAATAGGCTTCATGGAGCAGAGTGTATTCAAGCCTGTGTTAGGGTTCACCATCTGGTAGGCATGCAGACAGGAAGACGGAGTGTTTTATTTGTGAGGAATGTTTTTTGATGGAACCGCAAAGTGGGGGTGTTTTCATGCCCAACAGGATTGTTCGCACCGTTATATTCCTGCAAAATGTATCACTCTTCCATTTTTGGATTCTGCATCTGGTTGGAGGCTGAGGTTGAGATGTCCAAATAAAAGCAGAGAATGCAAAAAATCAGTGTCCAAGCTTCAGTGGAATTGATATTAAAGTTTAGTTCTTTTCAAACTACTCTGTCATCTGTTCAGCATAACTGGATATTATTGCTCATGTGTAGTTCTTCTGTTTCTTTTAAACTCTGCCATTGGCCTCAGTGACCATCTGCAGTAAATCCTACCTGGCGCCCCATACCAAATACGGAAGCGTTTGGGAACTATATATATTCAATCTGTTGAATCACCACTTCTATTATATCAAATTGATTTTACATATTAATACTTACTGTGGTCTCTTCAGGTGTACTACCCTGTGCGCCACCACCTGGTGCAGCACATGATCAGTGCAATGCAGCGTCTGGGCTTCACCCCAAGTGTGACCATAGAGCAAAGGAAACTGGCTGTGGACCTGGCCGAGGTGGTCATCAAATGGGAGTTACAGAGGATCAAAGACCAGCAGGTGTGTTCATGAACTGCCATAAACACACACACACACACACACACACAAAATCACAACAAAATCCAGGCTGCCTGAACTAAACACAGTTTTCGCTGACTTAAAATGGTGTCAACCTTATCAGTTTTTGACTAACAAAAAAAGTGTTGCAAGGTGCCCTGTTGACACATTAATACATTCACTTTGAACAGTATTTATTTATTTGAAACCTTCAGTCTGTAAACTGTAATTACATTAACTGATGGACTCATCTTCACCCCTATCATCCTCCCTCTCTTCGGTGTGGCAGCCGGAGTCCGAGGCTGAAATAGGGGCTGGTGGTGAAGGGACTAGCGGGGCTGCTGTGAAAAGAGGACTGTCTCTGGAAGCTGCAACTACTGCTGCTGGACAAGATGTCAAGAGATTCCGCACGACAACCGGAGCTGCCTCCGCGGTAAGCTCAACTCACCATCTCTCAGTTGACTGTAGAATGTGGCTGAGTGACAGTTTCTTGTGCCCAGTCACTTTAGCCAGGAGTTGGCTATACAGTATTTCATTATGTGTTAGTGATGCACAGATTGGGAAATTCTGGGCCAAAACCAATACAGATATTTAAAATAACAATTTGGCCAGAAACAAATGTTTTTTTTTGTTGTTCTTTATCTACAAAGCTAAGCTTCTATGCCTTTTTGCAGCTTAGTCTATCTCTCTCGTCATCCAAGATTTGAAACGCAGAGCTGAACAGCTTCTCACTGTCTGTGCTGCTGCAGGGAGCACATTAGCATTTACATGCAATTTATGCCAGTGCTGAAAAACAAAACTGAAAAATTCCGATATATTGGTGAATCCCTATTATCTGTTATGTTTCACCCTCCAAAAATTAAGAACTGTATGGTCCTACCTTTAAAATTCCTGCCGCCTGTCCCTGCTTTCCACACTTCTCTAAATAAACAGTTTGAAAGATACTTTGATCAAATGCCAATTTTTACATCTGACTGAGGCAGCAGTTGCCAACAGATGATGACATCACAGTTGTTTTTGTCTTAATCAATTCTTCCTTACAACAGTATTGCCTCACATCTGTTTCATGTTTCATCTCAAATCCCACTGCGATCTGTTGAACTTGTGTTGAGATGAATTTGTCCCTGTGCCTGTTCAGTGTCTAAGGTGGTGAATTACACTATGATCAATCTTTCAAAAGGCCATTGCTAGGCACGCTCCTGATACTGCTTGCAGTCCCACCACAGAAAACTGCATATCTGTGTCTGGATGTCATGATACCAGAAGTTCAGTTGTCAATACCAATAACAGTGAAATTCCATGATTCTCGATACCAATTCGATACCATGGTAAAATGCCCCAATCAAATTTTGTCCAATCCAATACTTATGTATATTTTATACTAAATAACTAATAAACACAGCAGGCTATAAAATAGCCTAACAAACTCTCTGTAATATATTTTGATCTATATGTCGATCATCTCATGTTGCTGTCTGGAGGAAATTTCTCTCCCTTTGAAACTGTCCTGCAGAGTTTGTTGCTTCAGTGCAGCCATTACCTGAGTTACCTGAATCAACTGTATTCTGCTGAATGTTTTGTCCTCATCTGTACATCTTTTGTGTGGATTACATTAAGACTTTATTGCTTTTTGTTTGCGGGGCTTTTGTTGCACTTGCAGGGCAGTGCAGTGGTGTGTGTGCAGCTCTCTGTCCAAAAAGTGAAAATGCTCACTGAGAATGTTGAATCATAATATAGTGGGTTTTGTTTTTGTTTACCATATGTCTTAAATCAATAATTAATCACCAAAGTACACATGATTTCAGTGTATGTATCCTGCAAAGCAACTCAAATCACAGATTGGGCCTTTTTAAAATGAATAGTTTTTTATTATGATGTGCCAAAAATCACTTCGCACAAGTCTTAGTAGTTGCAGTCTTAACCAGAATAATTATCAGAAAATCATAGTTGCAGCCGACTTTTCACTATAAGCAGTGCAGGCAAAAACCTTGTGTAGGCTCTTTGATATTCCCTCCTAACTAAGCACTCCATGCAGCGTTTGCACTGCTGTCACAGACTTTTATTATGAAGTCTGTTTAGTTCCTTAGCCACTGAAAATTTTAAGTTTTTCTTTGTAGAATCTTTCTTTTCTCTTTATTCAAACAAAAAAAGTTGACGTATTAATAATTCCAATGTTTGTATGTGTGTGTTAAGGTGTTTGGCCGTAGCCAGTCCATGCCAGCCACAGAGACCATGCTCACCAAGCCTGTTGAGAAACAACATACGGACACAGTAGTCAACTTCCTCATCAGGATCGCATGCCAGGTAACACCCCCACCATACCTGCCGAACACACAGCACTCCATTTCTTTCTCACACTGTCTCTCTCTCACACACACACTCTCACACACACACACACACTCACATATACCAGGTACAGTTCTGCCATCCATGGCGCCTGCCAGGTAGGACACAACTATCCTAACCTCTCAGTGGTGAAGGTAGGACACACCTGGTGGCTGTCCTAAACACATCTCTACACATACACACACACACACACACTTCGAACAGTCCTTTATGTGTCTCCTCACACAGCTGTCCCTTGGTCTAGTGGCAGTGATGACCTTGGTCACAAGCCTGAAATAGACTGTTGAGAATTCACTCACCTTGACTTTTCCTACTTTCTTTTTTGGGCCAAGCTCCATTCTCACTGTTCATCCAACCATCTCTGTTGAATATAACCTTCTGTATGACTGCAGGGAATCACTCATTGCTCACAAAACAGTCTTAAAGAAACTTAATCTTTTCTTTGTATTCAATTCGATAACACTACATTGTGATAATAAATTGATCCCTGTATAAAAATTATATCTTGCAGCATCTCACTTAGAGCTGCTAGGGATTCCCTGTCTCGCTCAAGGATGTTTTTACAGGGTGAATGCTTGTCAATATGGGGGCTTGTGAAGGGCTTCCTGATGGAAGGACGGTCTCCTTCTTGGCTTTGCCACTGTTGAATTCTAGCTGCATTAATAAAAATTACAATATATGGTGACAGAAGAAGAGTCTCTCTTTGCCCTGTGTGATTTCACACCTTGTCAGGACACCATTGTGATATTGAAGATGAAGACCAATTGTCATCGATAATGAAACCAACCTTGTGCCCCTTCTCCTGTCTAGGTGAACGACAGCACCAATGTGGCTGGGTCTCCGGGGGAGCTGCTGTCCCGTCGCTGTGTTAGCCTGATGAAGTCTGCCCTCAGGCCTGACATGTGGCCTCGTGCCGAGCTCAAGCTACAGTGGTTTGACAAGCTGCTGATGACAGTGGTAAGGTGGCATATGCCTTTAGAATGACGCACTCAGTCATTATGTACCTTATTAGACAGTCTTTATGTTTCATATAGCCACATTCATGCTTGTGTTTGTGCTAAGCTACTGTTGTTTTTCTGCACTGCATTTCCCAGGGATCACTTGTCAGTCACTGTGTCCAGAACTTAAATTGCTTTTGCTTGGATTTTCCAAGATTTGTATTAACTTTCTGAAAGTGTCTGCCTTATCTTTTGTATTTTTTAATGGGCACTATGTCTATTCTTTGGAGTACAAAAAAATAGCATGTTACAGATTATTTGAAGTTGCTAGTGCAAGTGTATGTCATCAACAGTGTTTTATGCAAACAACTTTGAATGAGATTCAGAAAATTCAGGCTTGTTGTTACAGCTCCAAGCAATAAGCAGCAAATAGTATAGGATAACTAATGTGCCTCTGCCGTTCGCCTTCCCAGGTACTGCCGAAGTTTCCCTGTCCCTGCTTAAGCTCTGTCTTAGTGTTTGCTCTAACGTCTCTGAGTCCTTTGTCTGTTATCAGTAATACATGAAGTGAGGCGCCAACCACCATAATGACAAAATAATGACAGCGGTGAGATAACAGGAGTCTATCCGGGTTGGCCTGTGCCTTCGCGTTCAACCCCCCCAACCCTCTTCATCCTAAACTCCTCATCCTTGCTTTCTGTATCACCCCAGTGTGTCTCTCTGCATCGCTCCTCGCCTTTCACTCTGTCTCTCACCACCACTTCGTCCTCTCATCTCTTCTTTTCAGCCTCTTATCAGAGCCTCTCTTCTTTCTCTCCTTTTATCTGTTGCTCCTCTTCGTCTCCTCTCATCTCTCTGGTCTGATTCAGCGCCACTGTTCAGACAAGGTTATCGCCAAGCGCCGGCAATTGTCACGTACTTCCCTTGTTCCCTTTTGGGGATCACTGCATCGGCCGCTCCTTTCTCTCTGCCTACACACATGCGCACACACACACACAGCACACACACACACACACACACACACACAATCAGCCCTCTAGATCCCATGGGGATGATTTGACAAACAAGGCTTCCTGTAGGTCTTATGCAGCCCCACACACTCGGGCCCTGTCCCCCTGGGAGCATGCTCTACCTGCCCAGCCATCTTACTCAGACTAATGAACAATGCTCTAAATCGGATTACCTTTTATCATCTCATTGTACTGGCATGGTAGTGATTAAGAGTCAGGAGGAGTGCATGAGAGGGCAAATGAGGAGGGGAAGGGATACACGCACACAAAAACATGCACACAATTAGACGCACATACATGTGTATGTCCTATCTGCTTGGCTCCAGAGACTAGGTCCCATCCTGTTAATACAGTGCCAAATCAATACTACCCTAATATCTACCAGGAGCCTTATCACAGAAGTCACCTTGTTCATTAGCCAAGATTAGTGCCATGGATCTGTCCCAGATTATCCTCTTGGCCCCGCCATCGTTGTAAACCTTGATTGCAATTTAGACAAAATTAGGGCCCGATGTTGGCCATTGATCTTTGGTTTAGCAGCGATCACAGTGCCGTGGTTCTTTTGTGTGAGAAATACCTCTGTGTGTAGAATATTGATTTCTGAGTTGTCTGGAATTTATATCGAATAAAAACTTGAATGATTAATGCATCTACTGATGGATTTATACGGTAGTTTTTCTTGCTTTGTTTTGGGATTGTATACTTATGTTTAAAAAGTAATCTTGGATCACAGTCATAAGAAAGCATGATAGCAGCTGAATATTTCTGTATTTTGTTAAAAAATATAAAAATGACTACTTAATTCATGTATACACTTCTTTTACTCCTCTGACTGGTTCCATTGTTCTATTCTGTGTCCTCTCAGGAGCAGCCAGCACAGGCTAATATCTCCAACATTTGTACTGGACTGGAGATTCTCTGCTTCCTACTGACAGTGTTGCAGTCCCCAGCCATCCTTGCCCATTTTAAACCCCTCCAGCGGGGCATCGCAGCATGCATGACCTGCGGTAACACCAAAGTCCTGCGGGCTGTCCACTCCCTCTTATCTCGACTCATGAGCATCTTCCCTACTGAGCCTAGTAAGTTGCCACTGCTTAATGCCCCAATTCTAACTGGAACTTACTCGGCCGAGCAATGCTCATAAACTCCAGAAAGCACTACATAACTGAGTTGTCCGAGAAATTAACTACCATCCCTGTTTACTGAAGACATGGCAACATTTTTGGTCCATTGCTGTCATCAAGCCATGTGCTAAAAGTAAGGAATTGGTTTAGATTCCCAGCTTTTTTTCTTTGTTTAAAGCAAACACTGCTTTCTCCCTCTAGGCACATCAACAGTGGCATCTAAGTATGAGGAATTGGAGTGTCTGTATGCTGCTGTGGGCAAGGTCATCTATGAGGGACTTACCAACTATGAAAAAGCCACAAGCAACACTAACCCCACACAGCTCTTTGGTAAGACCTTTGGATCTCCCATTCTCTCTTTTTCTTTATCCCGTTTATCCCTCTCTACCCCCTTGTGATCTGTTACCCATTTTGTTGCTCATAAACTCTATCTTTTTAAAAATATTTTTCACACTCCCACTCTTTTCCCTACAAAACCAAGCTACCTCAGTCACTTTTAAGCAATTAAGCCAGTGAGTGGGTTGTTAAAATGCAAGCCGATGGGCCCTGCTGCTCCGGCTAACATCTGCTCTGTTTAAACAGAGGCCACAGTCCAGCGGTTTAGGAAAGGTTGTCTCGGGAAGGATTGCTGCTTTTGGCCACCCTCCCTTTACGGACATTACTGTTATCCTCCCAGATGTCACAGACTATTTATGGATAAAGCTTATGCTAAAGCTTATCCAAGGAGATTTTTTTTCACTTTTTCACTT